CGAGTTGGGCTGAGAGGGGGTTTACTACGGGCCAATGTTCGATAACATTGGGCTTGACTTTTCTATCTCAGAAATTGTCAAACCCGAAAAAAATTTCAAAAATTTCTACAGCTAGCGAGAGATAAGAGCTTGAATCCTACCGCACTTTATCTGCTCCATCCGCTTGCTGCAAAAATCCTAATAAGTCCTAAAATGATATGAAAAAATTGCCGAGGCTGAGTATGTAAAAAGCATATGTTCAAAATGTCGAGGTTTATGTGAAGGTTTACAAAAGGAATTGTCCGTAAATATGAGTGTTGAGACAAGAAGATAAGCTAACGATTATTGTGCTTGCCCGCCATTAATTCCACGTGTTTTTATGGTCGGTTAAAAAAGGGAAAGGACTTTCGACGACCTGAAAGTTATGTCTAAATATTGTACAATAGCTTACTCGGCGGCCTATTTTATCAATGGTAGGTTGGTGCTTTATCGCAGGTTTTGGAACGAACATAAATGTGTTTAGATTCGGCTCTAGCGCGGGACTTTCCTCGCACAGCTTTGCTTTTTCCAGAGCTTGTATCTCCAGTGCGCAATTGTATTTCTAAACGAATCAAAGTGGCATGTTGAAGGTGAAGAATTCTCAGAATCGAGCAAAGGTTTACCAGTTCGCTCATATGATTTGCCTTTCGCATAAGTTTGATATCTGGAACCCTAACGTGACCATTACTTGAAGCTCCCAAGGCAAGGACGGCTCTGGAAAAACGAACATTTAACGCTAAAATAGGATTTCCAGTAAACCTTGAAGTTTACCTGTGCTCGTTGTGTTTCAACCATATAGCTCTTCGGAATTTTTCGGTCACTTCAGTGTTGGCCGGGCATGAACTCACGAGAACTTAATACATAATTATTTGGCGCAATTTTCAATTGACCCATTCTCAAAGGTTTCTCATTTCTCAAGGAGTCAGCAAAAGTGCATTCACTAACCTGGCTCCGGTTTCTTTGGAATAACTATGGTAGGGCACAAACCATTCACACAAGAATCAATACCACGTGGGCATTTTTTGCAAGTCGGACCCATATTGTAGAGTTTTGTCGCGTGTTTCAGTGTTCTTGAATATTGAAAAAAATCAAAAAAAAATTTCTCAAATCACTAACGTTTTGTAATGGCAAACTATAGCGATGTTTCCTTCAACATTAAGATGGGCACAACCAAGTTCTGTGGTCTGATCAGACGCCATCTGTTTGAAAACGTGTGATAGCTCCATAATTAGCGTTTGCTTATTACTTACCAAGGCAAAGCTCGTAATTCCCAGATGAGTATAGAAAAGATTCTGAACTTGATCGAAGGGGCTTTCACGAATGAGGATTTCGGACCACCACTTTGTAGCTGCCTAAATAATTTAAGCGATTGCAAAAGATGAATTTTCCACGAAACATCAAAATGTAATGCATGTGCCTATAATGCGTTGGTGATTTGTGCTGGGCTCTGCTTATTCTCATTGAAGAACTCACCACACTTCAAGAGTCACTAACAATCATGATTGAAGTGAAATAAACCATAACGCACTCTTCTTGCCAGCTTCTCCCATTTTGGAACTTTCTTTTTGTCCCAAACAAAGACATTCTCAACAAGTCCCTCTGAGTTATCAGCTACTGTCGGAGCCTGTCTGGCTCTTTCCAAAGCTTTCACCTCCAGCTCGCAGTTGTACTTCTGTATAAAACTTGACAGAGTGAAAGAAACACGCCTTTGTTCCAACTCACCAGTTCAGGCATTTGATTTGCTTTTCGCATTAGAACAATGTCCGGAATTCTTCGTTTACTGTTTCTGGTCGCTCCCAAAGCGAGTACAGCTCTGTAGGTGACAAGTGATTTTCAAGCATGGAAAATGCTGGTTAGTCACCTGTGTTCATTGTGAACCCGCCAGATTGCTCTTCTGAAGGCCTCCTGCACCTCTGCATTGTCAGGGCACGTAGGTTTGAGCACTAAAACAATTTTCTTTCACTTTATGCTTTACAGCGATCTTTTACTAGAAGCCTTGTTTCTAGAGTGATTTCCGCAAACATATTCGATAATAGCAAGTTAAGTAGAAAAAGCCTTATCTAACCTTCTGGCGGCTTCGTAGGAGGTTCAAGTTGTTTAACGGGGCACAAACCATCAACGCAAGAATCTAGTCCTTCCGGACATTGTTTGCACGTAGGACCCATAGCATAGAGTTTCTTCCCATTCGTTAGATCCCTTAACAAAGTAGTCAGTACGCTGAATCATGGGGTACAGAACGGTATGTCACTGGTAGGTCCCGCCTGGGCGGACAACTGCTAGAGGCTGCTACGTATAGAGGTGCATAATTTGTAGCAGATGATCGTGCCAGTAAGGTCTATCGGCGGCTCAACTTTACCCATAGCAACACCCTTAATGCTTCCAAAACACTTACGTCTTGTACGAGCAGGCTAGATATGTGTCCCCACCGCATTTGAAATGTGCACAACCAACTTGTGTGGATTGGTCGGATGCCATCTGATTATTG